TTTTTTTTTTTCCACCAATGACACTGTTTTTAAGAAATGAAATTTTTTAAAGTTAAAAAATTGAAATATTCTCGCATTTTCACACTTTTTCTCTTTTAAATACTTTTTTATTTATTTTAACATATATATTTAAATAATTTAGCTGGTATGATGATTGCCTTGGGCGGTCTTTACTATAGTGGTAAACTCACCAAATCAGAAAAAAATATGCATGACCGACTTGGCAAAATCATGGAAGCAAAAGATAAAGTCAAAGAAGCAGTACAATGAAAGTTCCAAAGCAGGCTGTAAAGAATTTTTTTTTTTTTTTTTGTAGAACGAAATTTTTAGCTTCATCTGTTTTTAATGGTGGAAAATTATGAAAGCAGTGTTGAAAAATTATAAAATCAGATTCTTTGCCGATATACTTAATATATACTTAATATAAAAAATACCGTACTATTCCATTTTTTTTCATAATTTGTGAAAATTCCTAATTTTCTCAAACAAGAGATCCACTACGTATCCTTAAAATCTATTTCTGACTTTTGTAAATTTATTTCCTTCGTAACTTTTTTAATTTTTAAAGTGAATATTTTTTTCATTGATGAACAATCATAAACCATTTTTATTTTCTTTTGTATGCCGAAAGACTTTTTATGACTCAAATACATATTTTTTTCTTAAACCGAGTTTCTATTTTTTTTTTTTTTTTGTCCCCAGTTTAATTAAATAAATTTTTATATTTCAATTTTTTCCATTCCTATTCATTTCCGATAAAAAATTTCAAATCTTTCATATCGTGCCCCTTTTCACTTGAATGGTATGAAATTTGCTACCTGATTAAAAGATCATCTGTCATTTTTCAATAATCGAATCCTTTGAATATTAATATTCTTATATTTTTGAAAATATAAAAAATGTTTTTCTGACAAACACCTCCTTTGAAGCAAAAATTAATAGGAAAGAAGGAAATGAATTTTAATGACCCATTTGCTTGGTCTTTCATGCATGTGAAAAAATAGAGAAGTAAACCATTAATGTTCATCACTTTTTTTATCGTTTCTTTAGTTTATTTTTTTTTTATATAAAAAAGGGCTTTCCAGTCCTAAATTATGAATATATATATATATTTACTTATACTCCCTTCTAGAGTGTAAAATTCATGGATTCTTTTCAAACTTTCTTTTTTGCCAAACAAATATATATATATATTTATTTAGTTACGAATCTTATTCTAAAAGAAAAAAAAATTCAACAAAATAATCTATAATTAAAATTTCACGAATTAATTAATATAAAATAAAAAATTTTAAAAGGTTCAGACCATCTAAATACAATCCTATAAAAGACTTTAAGGCTTTGCATGGTGAATGCACCTAGCTGAACAATCCGAAGGTAAAAGTGTTTAATGTAAATTCCTTCAAAAAGATAGGAATTTAAAATCAACGGTATCCAGTGTTTCTTTCCCTTCTTTATTTTTTTGTGGGATAGAAAAGATCTCATTCAATCTTCAAAGAAATATCTATGAGTATTCTTTTTATGCTATTTATATTGGATTTAATGAAAAACGAAAAGATGAATTCTATATCTACATCAAAGTAGGTTCAAAAAAGTAACTTTTGTTAATCATTAAAAAAAAAAAAAAAAAAAAAAAAAGCTGTAGAAGCAGTCGTATCGTATCGTAAACTGTCCATTTTTTACTGCAAGAGGATCAAACTTACCTGATTTAATTTTTTAATATCACAGAGTACTGGTTCTCGTTGTAGAGAAACTTAAAAATGGACCTAGAAGAAAAAAAAAATTGTACGGATGTAATGAATTACGTTCCTTATGAAATATCTATGTTTAAAAACACTTTTGGGAGAGAAGGATACGTAAATTGTAAAATTTAAAAAATGAAATCAAATTTTCGAGAGTCGAAATATATAAATATATCTTTATTTAGTAAGTCTAAATTAAAACAATTCTATTACGCATAAACTAAAAAAAAGTGAAAGTATAAGTGGAGAATCAAAAAAGTCTTGTTTGATCGATTTTTTTTTTATGTATTTTCATCTAAGAATTTAAGTTTTAAAAATTCTCAAAAATTGCACAAAAGAATTGTACTCATACAAAGTAGAAAAAGAAGGTAAAGTTCATTAAAAAAAAAATAAGGAAATGACAGAAAACTACTGAAGAAATGTATTTTTTTTAAAAAAAAGTTTCAACTGCAAAAATTTCACTGCTTGAGTTTGGTACCCCCAGATAAAATGGCATAAAAAAAAAGTTTTAGAAGATGTGAATTAATTGGGAATATCTGATAACGAAAAAACTCTACAAGTTCCATCATCGCTACCAGTAATGATTTTACCTTCTGCTGAATGGATAGAAAGACAAAGAATAGGTTGTAAATGACCTGACCACGTTTTAAGTAAACTACCCGTTCTAGTATCCCATGCTCTCACCATGCCATCTACACAAGTTGAAATTAAAAAAGTATTAGAGGACGAAGAACTCGGAATTGTAACCCATTCCAATGCAGTGACAGCTTCAGGATGAGATAAATGACAGCGAAAAGAGGTATGCTGAAGATCTAAGATGGTAACATTGGCATCAACTGAGGCAATGGCAGCAAAAGGCAATGTCGAAGAAAAACGAATAGATTCAATAGACATTGTGTGTGTATTGAAAGAGCTAAGTATCTACAAGTAAAGTATATGGGAAAGGATATATATATATATATATATAATCAAGGAGGAAACATATGTTAAGATCGAAATGACAAGTGTGTAGTGGAAAGTACAATGCATATTTGCACACTCTAGTAAAAAAAAGAAAAACTATTTAAAGAAAAGAAAGATAAAGTAACAATATTTTTTTGGATACCTGGCCATTTTGCAAATGCACTAACTTGACTTGTCCTTGACTCCCACCTACTACGACCATGGTATGATTGGGATGTACTTTCAAAGCAGTGATACTTTCTTCTTTATCAAACCATCGATGATTTTGATGAGTAAATTTAAATACAGGTTGAGCTGTGTGTGGATCCCATAAAACCAAACTCCCATCTTCACTCCCCGAAATAATTTGTTTACCGTTTGGAGTAAATTGACCACAATTTACAGCAGATCGATGAATACCATGAAACACTTGCATTAAAGCTTGAGTGATTACGTTCCATAACCAAAGTTGACCATCGTTGGTTCCACAAACTAACACATTACCTTTCGGATGCCAATCTAACCACTAAAATAAGATAAAAAGAAGGGGGGTTTCTTTTTTTTTTAAAAAAAAAAAACAATCCTATTTTACAAGAGAGAAAGAAAGTGAAGTACATAGAATTTCCTTTCATAGTTGGAGCAATTTTCAAATACTACTTAAAAAAAAAATGAAATGAAAAGGTGTTTCTGACATACAAGGATTTCATCGCTGGCCTCAAACGTGGCTACTTGTTGACCATTGGTGACTTCATATATGATCACCAAACGATCCATTCCTCCTGTAGCATAATATTGAGCATCGAAATTGAAACTCACACAGACGACAGAATCTGTATGCGTTTTTGTTTGTGAATGAAGAAGTTGACCTGTCTGTATATTCCAAACATAACTTTCATCGTCCCCTCCTCCAGAAACGACATAAGGTAAGGTTGGATGACAAGAAATCGCATATACGGGTTCTAAATGATAGCAACAAAGTAGAATGAAACACAAGTACATTATTTCAGGTTTAGAATGAACAGACAAGGATATATATAAATATAAATATAAATATAAATATAAATAAAACAAGACTAAGAGCACTAAAGATACTCTATTCCTAAGATTGATGAGACCCACCTTTGTGTGCATCAAAGACAAGTTGAGCCTGGTCTTCATAATTTTCAGGTAAAGTATAACTTTCTTCTAAGTCTTGTAGTTCATGTTCCTCATAAATGGATTGAGAAAGGTCAGCATCGTCTTCTTCTTCATCCATGTCCATGACCTCCTCGTCTTCTATGTCTTGTTCATGTAACTCAATGATTTCATCAATTTCTTCGTCTTTGAAATACGTATCGTCGGCTTCTAGATCCTCCTTTTCTTCTTGAAATGCTGTGATTTCGTTTTGATTTGAATGAAGTTCGGGTAACTGAGAATAGGAAGAAGTCCCATCTTCTTGTTTAGTTAACTTCAAATGTGGGGTACCGTTTCCATTTTGACCTAGCTCATCTCGAGTAGAAGAAGAAGAAGAGGTAGGGTTAGAGTTATGCATAGATTTTAATGATGAGTCAAAGAGAGAGCGAGAGAGAGGGAGAAAGTATTTGTGTGTGTGAGTTTTTTATATAAAAAAAAGAAAAGAAAAAACAAGAATCAGATGAGTTTTTAATTTCAGTTTTTTTTCTTTTAAAAATAAACTCTTTTTAAGATAAATAATAATCCACCAAACCCTTCTTTTTTCTTCTTCTTCAACCAAACTTTGAATTAAAAAACAACTCTTTTAAGTTGAACTTCATCAATGTTTGTTTATTTATATTGATATTGTAATGGAGTAAAAAAGAGATTCATCCATAAAACAAACACCTTCCTCACCTTCCTTTCGGTCCATTGTATGTTATTCCATCCCTTCAATTTTAAAAGATATATATATATATATATATATATGGAAACCTTAAAATACAATGAAAAGAGGTGTGTGTGTGTGAGTGTATGTGTTCTTTCTCTTTCTCTTTCTTTTTTTTTTTCTATTTCTTTTCTGGCATCCTAATTTAGTTAGTCATCATATATAGTTTTATATCAAAGGTATATTTGATCTTACTTTTCAAAAAAAAAAACTTCTATGTTCATCGATTCGCTTTGTTCATATCCCATTTTATTTATTTATTTATTTATATTTATTTTTTTTTTATTTTTGACGCCCATTCGAATAAGTTGATTATCTCCATATAATACGGAATGACATTTGTAAGAAAAAGCGTTGACTATATCAAATTGAGTTATTACACTTAATTTACTAAATAAAATATATTTATATTTAAAAAAAAGGTATGTGTATACTTTCCAACCATAGCTCAGTTGGTAGAGCGGAGGACTGTAGTGGTTAACAAGCTATCCTTAGGTCGCTGGTTCAAATCCGGCTGGTTGGAGTTACTTCTTTTTTCTTTTTTTAATTTTTTTGTATATATATCGTACTTAAGTTTCATTAGGTGTACGTGTATGCATGCAACTTGAATAAGGTATAAATTTCATTTCATTTTATTTTTTTGAAAAAAAGGAGAAAAAGCTCATTTTTTTTTTAATTTTAATTCTAAGTATTCTCTTATTTAAAGCATGAAAATTAATTGATGCATGTATGTGTTAAATATTTATATGGGTATGGACCAATTGAATATGGAAAGAATGAAGGAAATTATTTACACAAAAAAAAAAAATAGAGACCATTACATAAAGTTAATTCTTTGGTGGGGATAGTGGTGGTAATGCAAGTATGTTTACTACGCGTTAAGAATATAAACCAATGATTTATTAATCAAACCTGACCATCACGACACTTCTTTACCATTCAATATAATTATACCATAGATATATTCATAAAATAATCCTTTTTTTTCTTTTATCATTCTAAGAAAAAAAAAAAAAAAGAAAAAAAAGAGAATTACTCTAAATTAAACGAAGGAAATGACAAAACTTAAATTAAAAATGAGTGGAGTAATAGTCTTCACTTAAAGTGGAGTGACAAAGACGGCGTGTGTGTTATATATGTATATATACAGTGTATTCCTATTAATGTATGAAAAAAAGTGAAAAACAAAACAGTTAAACGAGGGGAACGACCATCGCTTCTCCACTTATTCCGAAAATGAAGTGGCTATCTATTTATTTACCTTTGGATTACTCTATAGAAATCGTCTATATATTTTCAATAAATCTGAAATCATGCCAAATGCAGTCACTTCTCCACCTGCTCCAGCTCCTTGAATGTATAAACCTCTTGGAAAACGTTGAGTAATAAATTGAACACCATTATCGCTGGAAGTTAAATTACAAAATGGATGAGAGGTTGGGTAACTAATGCAATACCATGACGTTAAATTTAAAAAAAAAAAAAAAATGAAATTCATTCACTGTTAGAAAGCATTTAGTTTACCCTAAAAGACACGCAAAGAGAAAGAGAAAGAGATTAAAAAAAAAAAAAAAGTTCATGAGCATGCGTAACTCTTTTAATCCAACACTTGCTTTTCGTGTGTTAAAATCCAAACTACCCACGTAACGAGTTTTAGATTCTTCCGAAGCATTTAAAAGAGGTATTAAAAATTCATCCATCTCCTTGATTTGATGTAAAAAGGAATTCAAAGGGAGGGTTTCCAATGCTTTTGGGATCAATGAAAGCACAGACACTTCACTATCGTTCAACTCCCAATGTGCTGTACGTGCTAAAATCACCAATTTACGTACCACATCCATCCCATTTAAATCTTCTCTTGGATCGGGTTCCTAATTTAGTTCAAAAAAATGAAAAAATAGTAAAAAAAAAAACTGACTTTGATAAACTTTGATAACTTTTCTTCCTCTAAGTAGTTACTCAGTTCGTTTTTTATTTTTTAAATTTATTGAATATTCTAATCCATTCATTCATTTAAAACATTTTCAAAAAAAAAAAAAAAAAAAGTTTTATGGTTTATACAAAAGTGCAAGTGGTGGTGGTTGGGTTAGGGACCGTGGGTCAAGCTTTGCTGGATCTATTACATCACTTTGCTTCTGAATTTGAAGTGATTGCTATTGTCAATTCCACTCATCTTTGGACTGAACCGCTTCACATTCAATCCCTTTTAAAAGATCCCTTTTTAAAAAACTCAAAGGATCCTTCCTTCTTGTTGGGTCAACCTTACCAACTGGACTTCCTTTCTGCATTACCTACATCTACTTTACCTAAAGTCATTTTGGATTGTACCGCTTCTAGTACTTTACCTAATCATTACCCCACGTGGTTAAATTCTGGTTATTTCATCGTGACAGCTAACAAAAAGGGATTGGCAGGACCCATTGGATTGTATGACGCTTGTTCACCTTTCATTTCCTCTACTTTTTATTATGAAAGTACCGTGGGTGCAGGGTTACCGATCATTGCAACCTTGATCGATTTAATTCAGAGTCATGACAAAATATATCGAATCGAAGGTGTCTTGAGTGGATCTCTTTCCTTTTTATTCAATCAAGATTTAAAGAAAACTAAATTTTCGGAATGTGTACTTCAAGCCAAAAAACTTGGGTTTACGGTAGACTACACTTTACTATTCTTTTTTTTTTTTTTTTTTTATATGAAAGA